TTGGCAGGGCTGGCAAGAAGAGCTGTAACTTCGTGGCCATCGCCGCTGCTCAAGTCTCCTAGGCAGACAATACAGGTGTCTGACATCCAGAGGTATTGCCGGAGATTTTTGAGGGCACTCAAGCGGTGGCAGGATCATGGGCACAGGGTGGGTGTTTGGTGGTGGCATTTAAGTGTCAAGAGAGGAAAGAAGCGACGGCGCAGGTGGAGCGAGCAGATCCGATTTAAGGGCCTCGCTGGAACGGGCAGCTTTGGCGGGCCAATGACACCAGGCGGCTTAGAGCTCGAGGATGAATATGACTGGCTCATGTGGCTTCTCGCTCAGCAGGCAGGGCTTTGGTGGCCGCCTCAGCACATCCCTCGGTTGAACTCTTGTCAAAATGGGGTAAGCTGAGAGGTTGGGGATCATTCGCGATGGCAGATGACAGCCTGCTCGTGCCTAAACCCTAGAAAAGAGGAGGATTAAAAGATCCAGGCAACAAGAGGAACTGCGTTCACACCTTTTGCTTTTCGACTTGTTGTCCCGAAAGACTATCGCCCACGAACGGGCGGGGTTACAAATTCGGGAGTAGTGTGCGCGTGTGAGAAACAACACCTCTCGCTTGAGCTTTCAAGTAGCGGTGAATTTGAAGCCAGAATAAGCTGGGTCACGGTGTGAGATTTAGGGGCCACCCCATAACATCCCTTCATATCAGAATCCGGTATTCACCCGGCGCACAGCATGGAAATATATTTGCGGCGACACCTGGACTGGGTAAACGCTTTTGCTGTTCGGATAGCCTCAGTCATAGACTGAGGTTTTCAGCAAGAGCCGACTTTGCGGCCTCGAGGTCGGAGCAAGATCAGTTGCTCGAGGACGGTAACTCAGAAAACAGTATCAAGGATCAGAGTAGTCAAACATAAAAGTCCGATGGACTTTGCATTCGTTCATTCGATTGGAGGTCTAACGATTCGTGTCGAGTCATGGTTGGCAGGGTTTGCTTTCATCGATGCGGAAGCTGCACGTCCTGCTCGACCGAGATCGTTCTTTCAGGCGAAGCCTGAGATTGCTACTTGAGAATTTGTGGAAAAATTCCGTATCCGTGGGATTGAGAACTCCGAGCCCATGCCAAATATTGCTTTACACCTCCGCAATTTCCCTCAGTCGTCGAATGGTTGATCTGGTGGCAGCCGCAGCAGGAGTTCTGAGAGGTTGAGAGTGGTTAGAAAATTTCGTCCAATTCAGTGTGTGGCCCTCCTCTTGGACTTACGAAACCGTCCATGCGCCTCCGGCCACAGTCTTCTTGCAACCTTTGCAATTCCAGATTCCGACCGCTTGTCTCTTGACAGTGTTCTTGCCGCAGAAGGTGCAGATGTACCGCGCGTGTTGGGTGATTTCCATCTTCTTGACTTGTTTACGGAGGGATGCACCATAACGAGTGCCGTACTTGCCGGTCACGCCGACCTCTGCAGAAAATCAGTCACCCCTCTCTGCGTCACCCCTCTCTGCGAGAATTGGAAGGCAATATTCGACTTACTCTTTGTGCGCTTCGTCATGTTGGCTGTGGAGGACGAAGGATTGAATGAGTAGGTGAACTGGAAATGTCGTTGTTGGATCGCGCAATTTGCATAAGTTTACAAAAAGTTCAAAGGGTTTCACCGTGCGGTTTGACCGCCTAGCGGCTTGGCATGGAGTGGTTGTGACATCTTATCACGTGAAAATCAGCACCCCCGCTGAGTCAGCCCGGGGTTCACATCAAATGCGCCCATCAGGGGTAGTAGGGGTAGTAGGAGCCAGAGGGATTCACGACCCATATCTAGAACACTGGAAACTATTATTCATGCCACATATCATTCCACCTTCTCTAAATGGTGGAGAATTTTGAATACATAACAAGTAATACGGGGAAAGTCCAATGAGTTTTGGTGTGTACTCCTCTGCGCGTGGTGTGCACAGTATGTGTGGACGTCCAGGACTCCTTCCGACATGCAAATTTTGTATAACTGTGATGCTGCATGTGCATTGGTCCCGGACATTCTGACTCCTGACAAGCCTATTAGGAGATGCCAAAAATATCCTTGTGTTGGGGGCAGGACTCCGTATCGCTCCCGCCTAGAGTGAGAGGCTCCCAGCAAGCAAGGCCCCCCCTCTGGGCGCACACTAGTGTTTTCCACCACAGTAGGTACTAGGTAAGGTAGGTGCCCAGGTACCTACGCAAAGGCAGCCCCTAATGTGCCTCGTATAGGTAGTTAGGCACCTTAGGTACAAGGCAGTAAGGGGAAATAGGCTTTGTACAATACCTAGCACAGCGCGCTGCGTTCACCCTGATTACATTGATTGGGGGTCGGAGTACCTAGCCAACGCCCAGCTCCAGCCACGTTTAATCCCGCCATTAGTGCTCGGCTGGGCAACCAATCGAGCTAGAAGACTAACGCCCTGCCCGTCTCAAAGGCCCTAAAACCCTCAGTCCGTGTTCTCTGTTTAACGACCTTGATCGCTTTGTGGTCTCTATTCGCACGTTGGTTCAGCTCCATTCGCGTCTTTAGCGTCGTGGACTCGTGGGTCCCGCTTCTACTCCTCTGTCCCTCCCTCCCATCAACCCCCCAAAAAAGACGACACCTTGGCCTTCATTTCTACACCGTATCCATCCAACGAATATCTCAATTGCTGACCATTGCTGGCGCTGTCGAGACTCTGTTTTATTTTGATTCCACTTCTTGTATTCTTTTCTTCTCCACGTTCCTTAAAGTACCTGCTCTTCTCCCTCTCACTTCCCGGGACGGCTGCGTGTCTGTCTCTACCTCCTTTTTTCCACATCCAGACGGATCACCTTGCCTCACAATGGCTGCTGCTTCCAGTCGTCACTATGACATTATCCTCCTGGGAGCTACGGGCTACACTGGCAAACTGATTGCCGAGTACATCACGACCAACCTTCCCACCAACATCACATGGGCCGTGGCTGGACGCAATCAATCCAAACTCCAGTCCTTGGTCAGTGAGCTGAAGTCCCTGAATTCGACGCGCAAGTCTCCCGACATCATCACTGTGGCCAGCTTGACCTCCCCTGAATTGACCCCTCTGGTCAAGAAGACCAAGGTGCTCTTGAATGCCGTGGGACCTTACCACCTCTACTCGACTCCCGTGGTCGAAGCATGTGCTCAACAGGGAACACACTATCTTGACGTGACTGGCGAGACTCCATGGGTTCGCGATATCATTGTCAAGTACGACGACACCGCCAAGAAAACCGGAGCCATCATCATTCCCGAAGTAGGCGTTGAATCGGCACCGTCCGACCTGGTCGCCTATATAGCCACTCGTTTGATCCGCAAAGTCTGGGATTGCGGTGTCATGGACATGGTCGCCTCGGTGCACGAGTTGAAGTCCTCTGGACCTAGTGGCGGCACCTTGGCCACTGGTTTGGGATTGGCCGACCACTATCCTGCGAAGGTGATGAGGCAGTGTCTTAGCGACCCCTTTGTTCTGTCTCCTTCCCAGCTACGGCCCTACACCAAGGATACTATCTACCCACGCAACCCCGAACCAAACACGTACGCACGCACTGGTCTGCAGAAACTTACGGGTGTCTGGAAGTACCCACGCCTGGGCCACTTGACGACTTCCATCACCGCCAAGCCCAACGAGGCCATAGTCCACCGCTCCGCTGGCTTGACGCCTTACTTCTACGGCTTCAATTTCACGTACGAGGAGTACATGGCGGTGGCAAGTCCCTTGGTTGGCGTGTTGATTCACATCGCCGTCACTATCTTGGTCTTGATGCTTGCGTTTCCCCCTACGCGAGCCATCCTAAAACTGTTCGCCGCTTACAAACCAGGCTCAGGCCCGACAAAGGAATCAACCAAGGGCGATGTTCTAGAACTCCGCGCCGTCGCCGTCGCCGAGCAGCTCGCCAAGAACCAACGCAAGGCTTTGGCCAGTTTCCGGTATGAGGGTGGAATCTATGCTCTCACCGCCCTGTTGATCAGCGAGGCCGCCATGGTCATCTTGACAAAGGAGGAAGAGATTAAGAAGAGCCACGGTGCGGGATTCTTGACGCCGAGTTGCCTGGGCGACAATTACCTCGAGCGGCTGGAGAAGGCGGGCGTTCAGATCGGAGTACAGCAAATTGGTGATGTGGGGAGCAAGTAGAACATGTCCACGGGACTGCAAGGTGTTTACGCTTTTCGGATGACTCTCTAGCCTGCTGCTGCTCTTTGCCTTGTTTTTCCCATTTGACTCTGTCGCTTTCAGAGCGCCTGGGGTTATTCTTGTAGTTCGTAACCCAAGTGTGATGCTGGCTAGCTATGGTTCCCGGGACTTGTGGTGACCAGGACGCAGCAAAGGAGGGGCCCGCCTGTTGACCTGTGCTGGACGGCGGACAGTGTGACATGGTGGTGACGATGGGATGCGCAAGAAGGAGCCTGCTGGTAGCGGTTGTGATGATGCAAAGATTTAACTCATTCTGACGGGAGGGGGATCTTTTGGGGGCTACCGTTGGGTTTCTGGGAGGACGGGTTTCGAAATCCCTGGGGTTTTTCTTGTCGAATACAATGCACATGTAAATTTAGAACATCCCTATCCCTCGTTTCGATAATGTGACATGTTGCACGGAAAAAAAAGCAAGAGGTACGAGTACTTGCATCGAATACCGAGTACCGAGTAAAGCTACATACATACCAGTCCCGTCACATCACGTCACAACACAGAGATCCTAGCAGCCTGGTCATTCGAATCACAACATAGTTTGACAGGCGAACTATCGAGTACTGGGAAAGCCACCACAGTAACGTGTATGTACACCACCCTATGCTGATGATGAGAAACGCGCGATATACCCGCGGTAAAGGAGGAGGAGGATGCATCCAGTGTGCACACCCCTCCTAGAAGAAATCTCCCAAAAATCCAGCCCACCATCTGTCCAGGTTTCATAGCCTTGATCCGTGGCGCTTGTCTCTTCCCGTTTCCATTATAGTATACTTCTTCAGTCTTCTGGGTCTTTTCGCTTTTGAACCCCCTCGTCAAATATAGCTGACCTTGACCCCCATCCCAAGAGTTCCCCGCAACTTTTCCCATGCCCGCCTCACTGCTTCTCGCGTCTTCTCACGAATCTGCCTCTGAGAAAATGCCATCACAAACGCTAGAACAAAAAGGAGGAATCGCAGCATTGCCGTAGGATTCTTCTGAAGGGTTGTGGCGAGATTGCGGACTAGATTCGATAGAGCGAGGAAGAGCTCACGGGCTTGTGCCGTTAGTGCATTCTGTGAGGAAGCTTTGGAATTCTTTCGGCTGGCTGGACGGCGGGGAGTTTGTGCAGGAGGCGAGAAGTGGGTGCGGCCCTGTATTGATGAACTCGGAGGACCAGGCGGTGGAGGCGACCGTGGAGTTGGAACGGGTTGAGGAGGAAGGCTGGTCATGGGCGAGGAGGCAATAGGTGCTGTTTGGTCCTTGGTTGCTGCTGTATGGGTACCGCCGTTGGGATGTGCTCGTTCGATCCCGTAGTCAACCTCGCTACTCGTCCTTTGGTGTTTGGACGCACCACTTTGCGACGGAGAAACCGTTTCCATTGTTTTATCATCAGTGCCGGTTCCTTCCTGCTTTGAGAATATTTCTTCTGTATCCTCGAAGACGTCTTCGTCCGCAACCTCAAGACTAGACTCTCTTTCCGTGACATCTTGGAGTTCCTGCAGAGTCTGCATGAATGCTTCCCGTCTCTCCTCGTCTAAGATATCACTGTTCGAAATGAAACTCTTTGCGTAATCCCATTCGCCATTTCGGGGTAGCACATGTAGCGTGAATATTTCGAGAACTTTTATGCGTGAGGTGAGATCTTTGGGGGTGTTGGCACCATTCATTCCCGAGGAATGTTGGTGGCCATTGCTCAGAGCGTGGTCAAGGTGGGCGGGGAGGTCGAGATCTGGCTGTGAAGAGGACGAAAAGTAGGTTTCGAGTCGAGATTGATTGATTTTCTGGTCCGGGGCTTGTGAAAGGAGGAGATTTGACCTTTTGATCGTGTTAGTAATGTCAAGTTCAACACGGAGCAGGGGAAAGGAGCTCCCATACAAGTTGTAGACAACTTCCGCATCAACCGAGCCCTCTCTGCCCTGATATCCGTCCTTGACGACCTGCTCCCAGATCTCGCCGTGCTGTACGCGCCTGACAATCTCTTTGTATTCTCTGGGCCCAAACACCTGTCTCCCCTCTTCGTACCCAAGGTCAACGATGGAGTTCAGAAGCGTGACGTATAAGCTCCAGATCTTGATGCGCTGGCTGGTGGTCGCAGTCGCGATGGGTGCGAGAGCCGGGCTGTCATCCGGCCTTTTTTGGCTCGAGGGTGTGATCACAGGCTGTAGGGCTTCGTATGCCTCCAGTAAACGGCGCGTGAGAAAAAGTTGAGAGGCATGCTTGTAGATTTTGGAGATCTCGGATGACGTCCGCTTGCTCGACTGGTTGAGTGACGAGATTGACGACGAGAGGTCGCGGGAGCTTGACTGGGAGTCCGTGCCTATTGACATGACGATTTTTCTATTGAACACGCAGCAAGGCGGGCGCTCAAGAATGGCTTAGAGAAACACGGCTGGCAATTACTTGGAGAATGAGTGTAGGGCAAATCGGTGGTCGGCGTTGAGGAAGAATATGATCAACCCCATAAAGAGTTTCGTCACGGACCTTGGATTTACACATTTCGGGTCGCTTGAACCTCGGCATCAGGATCAAGAGCCACAGTGCCTGACTTGCTTGCTTGCCTGAGCACCGAAGCATCTACATACCTTCTAAAACACTCATTGAGGGGATTCAATGCTTCGTAAGATCCAGTATGCCTTCTTGGGTTGCGTTTGCCTGCAACTTGTTGCTGATCAGCTGCCAAAACGCTGCATCCTCTTCCCATCTCGGTAACAGTCGGCCTTGTTCCACCAAGTCTGCAATTCTCCGCTGTTGATTGATTTTGAGTTGCTCCTCTGAGATTTCTGTATCGTCGTCTTCAAGAATGTCGAAGATGTTGGCTTTCTTCGACATTATCCTTAGTTTCTGGAGCTCGCCTTTGGACCCCAAAGCCGGCTTTGATTTCTCCCTGGCCACAACAACTCTGGTGCTGGCCATTTTCTGGTCCATTTCACTGGGTGGTGACCTAGCTGCCATAGATATGGTGGAACCTTGGTCGACCGTATCTGGTGCCTGTGTCAAGATAGATGTAACCGTGCTTACCGGAGACTTGATGATGTTGACGAGCGTTTGTGTCATGCCTTGCATGTGGCCATCTTGTCCTGCCTTGGTTTCTTTCGCTGGCTGATCGGCACCTTTTCCCGATATACCGCTTGCGCTCTCCTGTATTATACCACCAGTGCCCTTGACCAGAGATTCAACATCCTTTTGCTCTCTTTTCAGCTTGGCAGGCAGCTTCAGCCCAATCTTAGCCGTCACAAAGCTATCAAATCCAGCCTCATGATAATTGGCAGCGTAAAGATAGCGGTCGAAATTGAGTGGCAAATGTATGTCAGGTAGTACCACAGAAGCCAACTCGCTCTCAACAGCCTTAAGAGACGTGTCCGCCCATCGCTTGCTGCCCAGACCTGCAACGTATTTGGTGTCGATGATGACGGGAAACAGTTCCTGGAGCCTTGCACGGAAGTCCTCCACTTTCTCCGGGAGGTCGCCGATGAAACACCGATACAGATTCATGACATCTGTCAAGCAGTTGTGGCCGACAAGAGCTCGGGACTGGCTTTGCAATTTCTTCTGGAGCTGGTTGAGAAGAGCCTGCACGTCCTTGGGTTGATCTTCCGGGGGAAACCCTGATATCACGTAGTAATGTGGAAGTTTAGTGATGTCGCCACCGATGATGGCTTCCAAGACCCAGCGGAGTCCGATAGCATTCGCTATCTCTGCCTCGCGTTTTTTCTCACGCTCTTTTCTCTCGTTGGCCTGCTGTTTGAATGTAGGATTGGTGATTTGGACAAAATGACCCATTCCTTGGGTTTTTAGTTTTGGATATTCGTTCCTAACGATCTGGTGGGTCAATCGAATCTGATAGCGATTCAGTATGGAAGGTATGGGCTCCTCGGCGTCTTCTGTGGGAATATTGAGATAGGTTTCTTGCTTGTCCTTGGGTAAGGTCTGCCACTCGTCAATCGACTGTTTGATATGTTCTACCAGGGGTGAGTCTTCTTCCTTGAGTGTCATGTCGGATATATTCGATTTCATTTGTTCGTCTTCAGTCAATCTCTTGCGCACTTGATCCTCCTCTTGCCGAGAAAGATAATGAATACCCTGTAGGATGGGTTTGTCGATGCTAAATCCATTGCGGAGCAGGAAAGAGATTGCTAGTCAGGTCAGCCATTGCTGAGGACCAACAGGCTCATCACCATCGTACCACCACTGTTGTATGACCATACCCGAGTAAAGACTGATTCTTTGGTGGCGGGGAGTGGACTGAGATGGAAATTATAGGGCCGTGCCTCATATCGTCCTAGAACTGTTAGCCCGACAAACCAGCAGATAGTTGTCCTTTTCAGTATCCTTGTGAAAGGCGGGGTGATGGGTCAGGGACATCTATGGTTCGCTCTTCACATACATCAAGCCCTCACAAGGTGGAATTCAGGGACGTGAATTTCAGATTTCAGTCAAACACGTACCTTTCACGACATCCTCGCTCACAATAGTCAAACCAACCTGCAAGACCTGGTAGATCTGTGCCGCCGATCTCAGGTCATGATAATACTCGTGTAAATCAAGCTTGCCCGAGCGACCCCCAGGCCTCCTTCCAGAGACACCTGAGAACTCCAGATCAAGGGCGATGAAACGGCTGTCGGCGACATGCTGAATAATTTTGAGGACTTCTTCTGAGAAGTTGCCACTGTTGATATCCATGGCACATGACAAGGTTCGAGAGAACGGACCGCGCGGCGAGACAGGGGCATGTAGCAGCTTGACGGGGCGACATAAAACTTTGTTGTAGAGACCAAACAGACTGCGGAAGAAGGTGGACATTCACTGGAGAATCAGAGGCTGCGATTCACTGCAATACTCAAGGTGACTTGTTTGCTGCAAGAGTTAAAGGGAAGAGAAACCCGTTGAAGATCTTTTGAACTTGTAAGAGTCATAGAAAGGCAAACACAGTTCGACCGATTGACGAAATAGAAAATGGCGGCACTCAAACTTGATCATTGGGCGCACTGCACACTGAGCACTCTATCTCAGCATCTTTCTTTGATGGCGTATTTGAGCGCCTTGTCTCCCAGACATTCTTCCTACCTCAATAGTAGCTAATAGGGCCCCGTTAAGAGAGTCGTGTGCTCGTCTTCTCATAGGGCAACTTTCTGATTGAGGAATTCGGGGAAATGATTGTGTGGGGTGAAATTCACTGGCATTTTCAGAGGACAAGTTTGCCCCACGATAGAGTCCATTCGCTCAACCTCTAGAGAAACGAGCCACCTCTCACGAACAGAAGATGTATTGCCCTTCTCCTTGACTAGATGTCCCCTTCTTGGCCATCACGAGGCATGCGATAGAAACTTGGTTACCTCAGTCCTATTCAACAGCGGCATGTCCGCTTCACTTCCCTCCACTCTGTCCTCCCTCCTCAAAAAGTCAACCCTCGAAGACCATGAGCAGATTCTCACGGAATGTAACAAAGCATTGAAGTCCTCAAAGGGCTCTGATCCGGAAACCCAACATGTCAAAGTCGTCGCCCTCCTGAAACTCGACCGTTACGAGGATGCTGTGAAATTCATTGAAGATACTGTTGGGTTGAAAAAGAAGGTTGAACTCGAGTATGCCTACGCCCTGTACAAGACTGGCCGCCTAAAAGAGGCTGCGGATTTGGCGGCAACGGTGAAGGGGAGAGGGGCACAGCATGTCGAGGCACAGGCCCGATACCGTCTTGAAGACCCAAACATTCCTTCGGAACTATACAAGCGCCTACGGAGTCAAAAGGTCGATTCGGAGCAATATGATCTAAAGGTGAACCAGGGTGCTATCGATGCACAAGCGCAGTGGCTCGGTCTTGCCGATCTCCAATCAATACGAAGAGTTGGAAGAGAAGATCTTGAAGCCTTCGAAACCGCGTATAATGCCGCATGCGGTAGCATTGCGAGAGGAGAATATGCTCAGGCCGAAGTTCTCCTCAAGCGGGCAAAGGAACTGTGTAAACACTCGGATGATCTTACAGACCAGCAAAAGGCTGACGAGCTCCTTCCAATTTCGGTCCAGCAATTGTTTGTGCTGCTATCTTTGGGCAAAACAGCAGAAGCAGAGAGCCTAGCCGGTGAAATTGACGCAGCGCAAGCCTCTGACCTTTCGACTCGAACAGTCGGTCAGAATAATGTCCTACTGGCTTCGTCTGTGTCCAACCAATTTCTCGCGCACAAGATTTTCCACTCGACTCCCAACATCCCACCAAATGATCGGCTTTTCTCGTACCAGAGCGTCCCTCTGGAATCCAATAGAAACACTATCGATCTACAGACTTTCAAATTCGGTGGCATTGTCGCGTCTACATCTAAAGCCCTCAAAGAATGCACTTCTCCTCCTCTGTCAACCAATGCACTACTTGCATCCTTTTTCAATGCAGCTGCTTATGCCCAGAACGAAATGGGCAGAGCTGGGATCCGAAAAATATTGCCGACACTTGAGAAACGGCCAACCGACATTGGGCTGAGTATCACCCTAGTGCAGCTGTACGTGGCGAGCGGAGACATCACCTCCGCAGTCGAATTATTCGAGTCATTGCTGAAGAGACTGGAGAGCTCTGTCGCTGAGGGCGAGCAAAACATCAGATTCAACCCTATGCTTGTGAGTCTTATGATCAGTTTGTACAAGGCACGAGGCCAGAAAGAACATGTCAAGCAGGAGCTTGCCAGAGCTGCATCTTATTGGCGGACCAAATCGAATGCACCGACAAGTTTGCTCACCGCTGCAGGAGTGTCACTGTTGGAATCACAGACCAACGAGGATTTGAAACTTGCATGCGATATCTTTACCAAGCTTCGCGAGCAACAACCGAACGACAAGGCTACAATTGCCGGTTACGTGGCATCACATGCCTGGGATGACGAGGCTGTGGCTGGGGCGGATACTGATAAGCTGACGGCCACGTCGGAGCTCATTCGCAATATCGACACCGATCTTTTGGAGAATACCGGTATCCCACAGTCGTCAAATGCCCTCACAATAGCACAGTTAGGCCGGACAAGGAAACGGAGCGCTCCGGAGGGTGGCAACCTGAAACCTAAACGTATTCGGAAATCGAGATTGCCGAAGGACTATGATGAAAGCAAGAAACCGGATCCCGAGCGGTGGCTTCCCATGAGAGACAGAAGCTATTATCGCCCTCCCAAGGGAAAGAAGAAAGGCAAGCGAGGAGGAGGTGGGAGTGATGATCGAACGCAGGGTGGCGCAGTGGATGAATCGTTGAACGTCGATGCAAAGCCCAGTGCTGCTACAGTGATCACAGCCTCTACCGGAGGTGCTAACAAAAAGAAGAAGGGAAAAGGGAAGAAGTGAAGAGATTATTTATGATTCCTCGATGTGCATACTCTAGTTGTCCGCAGCGCAGTGAACAAGAGTACCATTTTCCGCCTTCCAATACAGGAAGCTCAGTCATCGAATCGTGACCCTCTCTGAATGTATCGACCAAGGTCTCGTGGACAGTGTCCTTTCGTCAATGCTTGAGCTGAAAAAAGCGACGGAGGGGGGAGGAGGCCACTTGGGTTAAATTTCAGCTGGACAGGAATCTGAGACATGTTGCGACCAACTGCGGTAAATGAAACGAGAGCAGCAAACTTTTCTCAGGCATTTATCCGGACACCACCTCTAATCACATTGCCTAATTCAACGAGGAAGGAGAATGAGGCCGACACTGCCTGTAGGGCGGCGGAGGTGCAAGTTTAAGTCATGCGATGATGGTGGTGGTGGTGGTGGTGGTGGCGGAGAAACAAGATCATCTGGTCGAGGGGAGGGACAAGCGCAGCCTCCAATCGTGCCAAAACTGGGTAATTGAGTGACTGGTTGAAACTGCGCTGCGCTCGGATCCTCAGCGTCATCCCATCCGCCATCCACCACCACCCACCACTGACCCAACCTTTTCACCAGGGAACCTTCCATCCTCCCACCATCATCACCATCCTCATCATCATCAACTTCACCTCCACCTCCATCTCTGTCCTCCTCGTCCTCCTCCTAGTCGGCATCCTCCATCTCCTCCGTAACCAAACACTCGCTACACATGCCAAATGTCCCTTTGCTTTTGTGCCCAGACGGAAAATTCCCCTGGCCAATTTGAAGCCATCATTTCCTTCTCGAAGCTGCCAGTCGGCGCCGCTAACCCATCGCTTCAGACGGCCCTCCCCGTCAGCTGCCGTGTCACCAATACTAAAGACTAAAGAGCATTAGGCCCCAGTTGTGGCACGCACTTTATTGTGGGATGGCAACTAGAGCAAGGCCCAATGCATGCCGCGTGCCTTATCAAAACCCCCTTTGGGGCCCTCGGAGGGTGCCCCCAATTATTGCTGATGCTGGCTGACTGGTGGACACTGACTGAACAGGTCGGTCCCGGTCATGAGAACACAACCTAGACTCCCTTGATGGAGAGTACTGGTACCTGCAGTCACCTTGCCTCCTCCGCGATTAATGATCGATCTTCCACTTCCGGCTTCGCACTTGTTGTGCCGGCGGTGTGTGGTTCCCGGAAACCTTGTTGCATCCATGAGTTCCCAACTCCCCGGTTCACTTAATATTGGAACATGGTGATACCCTTGTTGATTGGCTGGCCAGGATGATTCCGGCCGGGGCGTGGCGACGTATCGGCATACGGCTAACCTCCATCTAACATGCAAGCAAGGTATTTTCTTCAGCTCGTGGCTTTCCCCTGAGGCAATACTCCCCTCTGCAGGTCCACTGGACCGTCAAATCCGTGAGGGCCCCATGATTCGTCCAAGAGCTGCTGAGCCTAGCACACGCAGTTCCATCGCCAGCAATATTGGCAGTTTGGCCACATCCATCCAGCGTTCTTACCTCTGTTCCCTCCCTCACCACCGATATCCTTGCAGTGACCTCTCACAGGCAAATGCTCGCATCCCGATGCCACTGGATCTCTGTTGTTGCCCTCCTTGTCAGCTGCTCAAATTTAAAACACGACATGTTGCTCCTACACTTCTGAAAATGCTTAGACCAACTATCAGTGCCTTACATCGTTGTCAACTCGCCATTCCTCGTGAGATGGTTCATGGCTGTCAGTGAAATCCACTCCTTCAGACAGATACACCACGTTTTGCTCGAAGCCGTCATTTTTCGTCTGCCTGCGAATAGCTTTCTGCTGTGCAACCACTGAGCCGGCGACTCGACTTGGATAACAGACCACAATTCAGTTGACGTTTCATCTTTCTTACTACCAACCACGAACGGGCATTTGCAGTGCAAAGCCTCCAATCCCCACGCCCAGCAATCGCGCTCGAATTCCGAATTTGTCCTACACAATGGAGCTCGCCTGTGAGGACTTTGTGGCCGTCAATGTACCAGCCAATTTTGAACAACCCGAAGACCTGCATGAGTACTTCTCACTGAAGGCGCCGCCAAATACAAGCATCTGGCGCAAGCCTTCAGCGTCCGATGACACGACTGCGCCTATGATCCTCAAACGCCTACGCCAGTCCTTCATCCTAGCGGAAGTTACCGTGTCGGCTGACTTCGCCAGGGAATTTGACCAAGCCGGAATCGTCATTTTCGCTGGTTCGCTTCCTGATCCGTCAAGACCGTCAACAGTTGCCGCTCGTCGCCCATCACGGTATCAAAGACCCGGAAACGAAGCTTTGGCGACGGGCAAATGGGCCAAAGCTGGCCTCGAGTTGATAGAAGGAGAGCTCCATGTCGCTTCGGTAGTAGCGATTTCTCCTTGCGGCGCAGACTGGTCTTCTTCAGCACGCTTGGACTCGCCACCGACACCTTATGGTTTGTACTCCCTTGCCTCGCACTCACTCCGCATCAAACTCGAGCGCGTCGAGGAATCGCTCTGGATCTGGTACAAATTACCGGATCAAATCGCCTCGCTTGAGCAGACACGTTACTCTTATCCTGACCTCGATCCGCGATACCAACGCGAACGCAATCCAGAAGACGTTGCGTCCGGTTGGAGGAAGATGCGCGAGATCATGGGCTTTTTTGGTGGTGGGCTGGAACATCAGAAGGCGACGGTCTGGGTGGGATGCTATGCAAGTAGACCGATGGAGTTCGAACCACGGCATAGCTGGGAGTCAGTTGATGGATTGGTCGCAGAGTTTGAGGATTTGGATATCTTATGATTCGGTATGCTGCGTTCGAAAATCCAATGGGTTGGACAACATGAATGAGTCGGGATTGCGACTCTCCAGACAATTGCCAACAACTCAAACGCCCGGACGTTATGAAGAGGGCTAAGCCTGCGACGTCAACTTCTAAGATCTTGGCGTGCCAATGATTGAGTTCTGGTTGGCGCCAATCGAGCAGGGAGACGAGACGAGGATACACGAGACCGGATCACCATCATGGCACCAGCAGCAGACTAGCTGTGCATTAGTCCCAGAGGAGAGCAACGAAGAAACGCGATTCGAGAGCTTTCCTGACCATGGTCCACCGATGGTAACCGAGCGCGAGACGTGGCAAGGATGACAACGAATGGTCAGTTAGCAAACCTTGTATAGGAGGGGGTTTTGAACTCGGCTGCGGGCTTTTGGTTGTCTGAACTCGGCTTTTTTGAGATCCCGTACAAAGCTCAAAAGACGGACAACAGGGCGAAATGACCAGACACTAGGAAAGTGAACAGATGTATTTTGTCGCAAGACAAGCAGATCGTTGCGTGATGGTTATGTCAAATCTAGGTTTTTTTTGTCATCTGAGATGGTCAGTGTGGCAGAAGGAAAGGTTGGACGGACTGGGCAACCAGAATAAAGGGCTATACTTGTAATATGGTTTCAATACAAGGCTGGGGTGAGGCGCAGATAGACGGATGGAGTGAAAGATGATTTGGGCAGATTCGTCTGGCTAGAAACAACAGCATGGCCAGGTCTAGACGGCGTATGTGTATGGGTATAGAGGTGTGTGGTTTGTGCGCCCACAGCACGAGCGCATGCAAACCAATGAAATGCAATCTATTCAGTCATTCAGAAGAGCGCTTGACTTGACTTTGGATAGATAGACATGCATGCCTCCTCTATGTTTTCTGAGCGGTTGAGCGCGGGAAACGAACACAGTGAGAGAAAGTGGAACAAAACCCATTCATCTGTCCATCAATCATCTCATCTCATCTGTCGAACGATGCGAGGTCTACGTATGTACTTGGACGTTTAAAGCTCTTTGCCGTCTACGACGCGAGCGAGTAGGGTCCCTATCCTGTGTGTCCTCTTGGTCGCGATCAGGATGCAGGAGTGGGGGTAGACCATTTCCACGGTTAATCCGCGAACGAAAAAACCGAGGCGAGTTGAGTCTCTGAGAGAGAAGTGTGGAGAGAGACAATCAGTCAGTCAATCAGTCAAGCAAGCATGGGATAGGGGAGAGAAAGGACCAGAGATTTTCGATTCGGGAAAGCGAGCAGTCGGATTTGTTATGCTTCAACCGGGGGTCTTGTGTGAATGCACAACGCTGAATGACACTCTCCGCCCTCCACCCTGTTCTTGTGCAACGTTGACCTTAACGCTGCCAGTTCTCATGGGACCACAACAGCAGCGAGCATCCGCATGCTCTCGAGTCATCCTTCAGAGAGGTGTGACCCGGCCCTGTCTGCTGTGCTGAAAGGTTTGCCTGTTGGTCATCGATGCCGTCCGCTCCAAACAGATGCTGGCCCCTGTGCATGCCGTGGAGCTGACATGGTCTCTGCGCATCATGTCCTCTGAAATTTGGCGTTGACTTTCAATGCCCCACCATGGAACTTTGGTTGTATGTCTGAGAACACTCATTTCTGATCGTTCTAGACGAGTCGACTTGAGAGAGTCGGGTTGTGGTGTGCCCAGTAGGCATGGTGTTGTTTGAGACACCCGTCGCGTACGAAGCTTATCAGAAAAGCCGATGTGTAACAGCTCAATAAGTCTCGACAACGCGGCGCCCACCAGCTGCGGGTATGTCTCGCTGGTGTATCTCAACCTCCACACCACGTTCTTTTGCCCATGGAATGATATCTCTGGCCACATTAGGACAGTGAAGCAGCGTGACTCTCCGAAGTTGAGCTGCCTCTCTGATTAGATCCGACACAAATGCCCCAATGCTCCCAGCCTGTTCGAGGCGAAGCTCCTCTAGAGCCAGACAGCTCTTGATATATGGAAACCCTTGGACGCTGATAAAGTCGGGATTGATAATGCGAAGAGACTTTAAACTTTGAAACCACGGCATGCTCATTATTCTAGTCAAGTGCTCAGCACTTTGGTCGTTGGCAGTCACCGATAACTTCAGTAGGTTTCCTGGTAAGGTCTTTTGGATAGACTGGAGGAGGAACAGAGGGAAGACATCACAATCCACTTGGAGTTCCTCGAGCTCGTTTAACGGGGTCAAAGGTAGCTCAGGCACGGAGGATTGGACGAGGAAGGAGCATGAGACGAGCTGCACTTGCCTCGGTGATATCGGTAAGGCGATGCTGTGTAAACGAGCGTCGATAAGGTGGATATTTCGAAGTTTCGTCATATGGCGTAGATCTAGAACACGTCCCAAAATAGGTGGGCTAGCACAGCGAACACCCTTACAAGAGAGCACCATCAGCTGGGGGCAGTCGAAAGAGATGCGATCCTGGGCGACTCAGTCAGCTCGAATATTGCCAATCACTTTTTCCATGGTTCTTCACATACAGAATTGAAGCAGGCCGAACCACCAGAATGGAGTTCAAGCTCTCGAAGACTATCACTGCGCAGTTGTATATCGATAAGGGACGGCCCAGACACATGTTTGAATTTCGCGGTATCTAGGGATTTACAATCGCGTAGAATGGCGTGAACCCATTCAATAGGGATCACGGGCCTGCTGCATTCGACGATAACTACCCTCAAGTCGTACTGGCTTATGGGGAGCCACGTTGGATAGCACTCGGCACTTCGCCATTCAAAATGTTGTAACGTTGGATAGCGCTCGCTGTGCGTCAGTGCTCGACGAAGGTAGTCCGCCGTAGGGCCAGGAAGTTGGGGCAATTTGACCGTCTTGAGTGTCTGGCACCTGCCGAGGGCAGCAACAAGCGCTCTCGGGGTGATTTGTTTTGTAGAGTTAGGGAAAGCCAGGGTCTCGATCAGTGGGCGCGAGCTCTTCACAATCTTGTTCCATGACCTGGAGACACGGAGCAGACGTACATTCGACCGGTAGTCGAGAAATGAAAGAACGATTTCAACAACCTCAAGAGGGAGGACGCTGAGGGGGTCTTGTGCTTGCGAGAGCACGACTTCGAGCCTGATCTGCTCAGATGTTTCCTTAATTTCTTTGACGAGCAATGCATGGTTTGCATCTGACTTGGGTACTTTCTTCAAGCCATATTCAAAATATCTCATTGCGGCTGTTTTATTGTTCTTGCGGCGTTCCGCGATTCCACTCCGGATGTAGCCTCGTGCGTCCTTTGGATCAAGTCGGATCATGGCTTTCGCGTCTTTTAGAGCCTGGTCCGGAAGATCCATTCGGAGATAGACCGCAACTCGATGATCCAGGATATTGATGAGAGACACGGTCTTGTCCCTATCACGGGCTCTGAGAGCATCATTCACAGCGGTCAGGGCGAGAGTGTAGTCATGCTTTCGGGCAGCACTGAGGCAATCCTCCAGCAGACGCCTGACTTGTGTGCTGGGTTGTTCGGAACTCATATGAGCAGAGAAGGGACTGGATATGTACCTCAGGAGAGTGTCAAACAAACAAAGTCGATGGTAACAGAAAGTCTTCTATACCCCATTGTGCTCGTCGGTTGATATGCGTGAGGGTCGTGAGAAACAGAGGCACGCGACGCGTCGGGTTCAATCGCGACCAAATGTGCTCCACGTGATCTTCGGATAAACTCTAGCCCCGTGATCCGGGGAATCCAGTGTTTACCACTAACCTCATCTGACAAAACCTGGCTCGAGCCATGCGCAAACGAGCTGCAAGAGAGTGCGACAGGCATTCCGCCCATCTAACCTCTGGCAAAATGGAATCATCCAGTCTAGAAAGGGCATCGCAATACCTAAACAATCTCTTACTCGCGCGTGGTCTCCTTTCAAACGGCAAACCCATCGACTTCGCCCGACCCGATCGTCATGGCTCCGGTACCAATCCTACAATGTCCCGCATCATCAATCTCGTCCACGGCTTGATCCTCCGACGTGACCAGGACGCTGAAAACCGCGAGAACCTTGCCATTCAGATTCGGCAAGCCCGCGCGGACGAAGCGCAACATGTTCTCGATCTTCAGAGGCTACAAGCCAAGAATGCGGACCTCTCGCGAGCAGCAGCAGCAGCTGAGGCGCAGGAGCGAGCACTGACGGCCAACGTGCGCAAACTCGAGACCCAGGCGAAAGAACTCAGGGAGCAGATGCTGAAGCTGAAATCTACTCTGGATCAAGTGCGGGCCAAATGTCTGAGCGACGTCCGCAAGAGGGATGCCGAACTGGACAAGCTCAAGGCGTTTTTGGCGGGAATGCAGCGCGGCAAGAAAGACTCGAGCGGGATGAAGATCAACACAATCAACTGGCAGCCAGAAGTTCAGGGTAGAGAATTGCGCAATGGACAGGACGTGAACAGCTCCGAGTGGAGCCTTGAGAAAGAAACCAATCAATTCCTCACTGAATTGGTCAATGAGACGAGTACAGAAAACGTGTCTCTTAGACGAATAGTAACGGACACTATGCGGATTCTGCGAGACATCAGCGGGCTGGAAGATATGGATGCTGGTGCAGAGCATAAAGAAGTCCCGGAAAACGAGACAGATATATCAGACCACTACCACAGCGATCCGAAATCGACTCTGCAACAGCCACAACCTGAAGATCTTACTTCTTGTGACGAACTAGCTGAACATATGACTGCCATCCTAGGACACTGCCAGTCGATCCTCAAAGATCCATCTTTTGTCCCGATCGAGGAAGTCGAAATTCGAGACGAGGAAATCATCAAGTTGAGAGGAGGTTGGGAAAAGATGGCAAGCCGATGGAAGGAGGCGGTAACAATGATGGATACTTGGCGGCGACGAATGGTGGAGAATAATGAAGGGCTGTCCAGGGACGATCTGTCGAGGCTCGAGTTCGGAAAGAGTGTCGCTATGCTACCTAACGGGCAACCTGTCTTTGGGACGGACGATGAACTGTCGTCGATACTATACGAGAGCAGCAAGCTGGAAGAAGGGGAACAAGAACCCGAGCACGGAGAATTTCCCGCAAACTCCGAACAGGAAAACACTGGACATCTTACATCAACGCGAAGCAACGTCGTGAAAAGAGGCCCCACCAAGAGAGAACTAACAGTTGTTGAGCCAGACCTCGACATCCCTCCAGCACACGAACGATCGCCTAAAAGGCGAGCTTCCATTGCACGCAAAGCCGGCAATTTGGGCAAGCCAATTCGACCATTGCAGGCAACGGAATTGAACCATCTGAATCGTTCTCCTAAGCCTGGTTGGCAGAGGTGGACGAAGTCGAGAGAGAGCGCAGACTCCGGCATTGGCAGTCTAGACGGCGGGATACATGGCAAGTCAGACTCGGACGATGACGACGAGAACTATGGACGCGAGCCAGGGAAACGAGCGATTGATTTGGGATCTCGGATTCCACGTCAGGTAAGCTACACACTGTTCCTCTCTATCCACTCTTGAACCTGTAAGAGTTGTACTAATCTCGATACAGGTCAAACGGCCCGGGCCCGTGCTATCTATAGACGAGAAACTTATCGCGATAGAGGCAGAAGCTCTGGAAACTCAGCGAGACCTGAAATCAGCCGATAGCACCACAAGCAGGAAACGGAAACACGGAGCTAATGCCGCGAAGACGAGAAAGGCATCACGGAGGAGAAGCACACTGAGTCCGGAGGAGCTGGCTGAGTTGATGGGTATCGAGTAACGACGACTTTGACAGACATAAGTTATAGCTGGCTCAATGGCCAGTTCCAGGCAGCTGCTCTCGTGCTGAAACGATTAACTAGGGTGCCATAGGACACATTGTACAGTTCCACTTCCATTTTCCTGGTCCTTTTGGCTCAGGATACGCGCTCCACGTCTGAAACCTAACCTCCATCGTTCGGCCGAGTCAGACTCGAGAATATAATGTTCCTATGAGGCTCATTCAGCTCATTTGAAAGCCGGTCATCGTCTCTGTTATGGCTTCCATCGCCGTCCTGGTTCATCTAGTTCTCTGATTGGTCACATCAAAACCTCATAGACGACTCTCATGGGCATGTGCTTCATTCACAAGCACGATCCTGTACCGTGCCTTGCCCTCTTCCATATCCACAATCGCTCGGTTGGCCTCTTTCAACGGGTAGTTGTTGGTCCACGTCCACACCTTTTTGCGGCCAAACAAATCCAACATCTCCCTAATCTCTTTTGGAGAACCTATCGAGGAGCCCGTGATGTTAATCTTCCTAGCGAGGAGCGTAAATGCCTTGATGGAAGGAATGTCATCTTCAGGGGCGCCAACTTGAACGAACGTGCCCCCAACGCGAAGAAGTTGAAGATATTGACCAAAAGGCATGTGAGCATCTGAAACGGTCGAGATGATGAGGTCCAGGGATCGGCGATGCGTGCGTGCCCAGTCCTTGTCTTCATTCGTGGCGATGAAGGTGTCGGCGCCCATCTTGAATGCATCGGCCTTTTTCGAGGAAGTGCGAGAAACCACGACGAGCTTGTCCACGTTCAATGCTTTCGCCCCCATGACTCCAAAGTGACCCAGTCCACCCAATCCAATGATACCCACCCGTTTTCCTGGGCCCGCGCCGTGCTGTGCTAACGGCGCGAACGCAGTGATACCACCACAAAGCATTGGTGCTGCGACGTCGCTGGGTAACGCATCGGGGATCTTGAAGACAAAATGGGAGTGGCCGCGCCAATAATCGCCGTACCCGCCGTAAGATTTAGATCCGTCGGGCCATTTTGAATTGTATGTCCCTGTCTGCTTGATTTGGCAGTAGTTTTCGTTGTCATGGGTGCATTCATCGCAGTCCGGGCGCAGACAAGAACGGCTTTGAGCGCCTACTCCCACGCGATCTCCCACTTTAATTCCGTTTTCTACCTTTGAGCCGACGCGCACAGCGGTTCCAACAATTTCATGACCCACGCAGACAGGATAGAGAGTCGGAGCCCAGCCGGATCTAAGCGTGTGTATGTCCGATCCGCATATGCCAGAATGGGTGATTTTGATGTCGACATCAGTTTCCTCAAAGGGCTTTGGGGTGTAACTCTGCCAGACCATGTTACCTTTTGCCGAGTCCTTGTCAAGGCCCATCCAGCCCTGAAACGTGTAATTCTGAGCCATTTTGTTGGCGGTTAGTAGCTTGAGGGGTACTTTTTGTAGTTACGAGATGAGGGAGGAGAGAAGGTGTTGGATACAAACAGAGGAATGGAGACGAATTGACTGTTCCGATTTGGAGAGGATGAGGATCAGGACAAGGAGTTGAGGTTCCAGTGGCAGCTAGGCTTCTGCATCAACGGGCTCTTATCTTTTATACACCTGTAGCTCTGTGCCTTGACCGAGGTAGAATAGTCCCCCTAGCGCTCTTCTAGCTTTCAACCTGTCAAGCATTCATCGAATTGGCGGCTTGTCTGGGGCGGGTGGAGTGCGGTGCCACATCCCTTCAGATGCGACGATTGTGAGTCGGAGCGATAGCCGTGCAGAACAAAATATGATGGACCCAGACGAGGATGCAGAAGCTGGAAAAGTGACAGGGGATGCTTCGAAGGCGTTAAGGAATAAACGATGTCGAGAAGGTCGAGGTGCAAGCATTGCACTCACCCGATGCTGCAGAGGCGCAGTCTGTCCAGACTGGATGACTAAGCTGGCAGCCCTCCCTGCCGAGTACTTGGTCTGGCACCAGCTCATGCATGCCTCATGCGCGTCAGTCGACGCGATCAATCAACTTACCAAACACAATTAATTCCAACTGCCTCCGCGCTACATACAACTTCCCATACTACTCAGGCCATGCTATCCCCATCTAAGTCACCATGAACAAATTCTCGGTGGACTATTCGTCCAGCATCAATTCTACACCGGGCAGAACACCCGCTACTCGAGGGACGAATTTTTTGTCCTCCAACCCTCCTCAACTGGCTAGCACCACTCCCATTGCGCCTCCGCCCTCTCAGATCTTCGGCAGCTCTACTTTTGGCACTGGCGTCAGCAAACTCCAGCTCTCCAAACCTACACGATCTCCTCCTCAGCAATCCTCCAGCTTCAAGAACCCTCCACGACCGAAGAATGGCGCTCAACAAGTTTTCTCAAGAGCCAGGTTGGCGAGTGATTACAACGGGCAAGAAGATGAGGACCAAGACGTGGATGAAGACGATTATCAGGAGGACTCGAGCCAGTTTCAACAGAGCCGTGGCTTTCGATCCGCCGATCAACGACAACCGGTTTCACTGATGAAATTCAGTACTATGAGCACGAGAGACTCCAGGGTATCTGCGCCGCGTAAATCTTTCCGCAACTCGACGAGAATCTCTGCGCTCCCACACAAAGGGAACGACACAGTTGTACTCAATCTCGCTAGGGATATGGGAACCAGGGCGCGACCAGCCTCTATCACGGAAGCAGATGAGGTGATCCTCGAAACAGAACAAATCCTCCGGGAACTAGACGAACAATCTCAGTACCTCAAAGATCGTGAAAATATACACCAAGCTATC